AAGATAGGAGAAAATGATCCAAGCTCAAAACCACATTTCCTCTAGGTAGATTGAAGAATCTCCTAGTCAAAGATGATTGGTGAAGAGAGATGATGATGAAGCTTAAAAATACTTGCTCATGAAGATATCATATTCCAAAAACCCACCTTGAGAACCAGAGATAGAAAACCAAGAGTCCCTTGTATGATGTCCCAAGTGATGTTGAGACATGCTTTGCCAATGAAGATGCATCCTTGTGTGAACTTCAAAGATGGAGCTCCTTTATTGAGTAAAAATGAAATATCTTGATTCCTTTCCTAGAAACAATGTTATGCTCAAATGCCAATGCAAGATGGTATGAAACATAAGCCAAGATAGAAAAATAGTGGGCAAATTTTGGGGTGCTACAGGTATGCATATGTGGTGCGTATGCAAAATCAAATGCAATGCAAGCTATGCATCCTTTGAAGTTTCGAGGAATCGTTTGAATGAGTTGTTAGTTTATATAGAAATATCAAGGAACAAACAAATATGAAGCAAATGAAACCACATTCATTCATTAAATTGTAGCAATCAAAATGATATGGAAATCATTCAAAATCAAATACAACAAATAATGTCTAAAAACAAGAAAGAGTATAGAAATGAAAAATGAAAACTCCGAATTTTGGCCTCGAGCCTCACGCTCCTTTAATTCCTCCTTAAACCTCTTCAGCATGGTCTTGCAAAGGCAAATAAAATAACAAATAGCAGGAGGAGTAGAGTCATTCATCGCTTCCATAGTATCCCTATGCTTCCACGCCAAGTCTTGAGCCAACCAGTTACAGAATTCTACCAACCCATTAAGGTTATTGCGGTACATATCTCGATTAGCTATCAAAATATGTATGTATTGCTCATAGCCGTCACAATCTGAAAGTACATTCATCTTTTCAGCAGCCCAAATATCTTTATTTGCAAGGATAGCCTGTATGTGGTTCTTCTGATCCTCGGCAAGCTTTCCAACCTCATTCAGCTCCCTACATAATCCGTCCCAATCTGCTGGCTCAACCCAATTGACTCCCATGACATTTTCTTTGAGTCTACACTATTCTACTTCGAAAACCCTTATGTGGCGTAGGGAGGTGCTTAGCCTTTGAATTTCCGCTCCCATTTCCTCTCTGATTTTCTTGTTCTTCTTAGTATCCAAAAGCCATCAATTTTCATTCTCAACGCATTTCCTTCAGGCTTTATCAAAATCTTCCTTGAGTCCGCTCATATTACTGTCAGATTGCTTAAGACACACCTTTACCTTCTTTCTTCGGTCTTCTTCTTCATCGGCCTTCTTTTCCACTGCCCCTAGCTGGGTATTCTTACGCTGAAGTTCCCATTTCATGTTGTTCTTATCCTTAGTGACACTCTGAAGCTTTAGCTCAAGTTGCTTGTTTTCTTTTACCAATCTTGCTATGGTGGCTTTAAGATCCTCGGATTCCTCAATTGGGATGTGAGTAGGCTTTGGTTCAGGTAAGGATTCCGACAACTTGACCTCAAAAGGCATTTTAATCTCCTTTGCTCTCTCCCTTACCCACACAAAGTAGGGTTCTTTAATAATATTGTTCCTTCGTCCCAAGTCACTCTTCCCTTTCTTCCTAATACTTCTCCAAGCTCTTGCAATCTTCTTGAACTATTCAGGGTTCTCGGTTCCCAAATCATATATCATGAAGGCTTCCAAATTCTTTTCTTCGGGAGGAGCCACCTTCGGATACTCGAGTTGCCTTACTGATAGCATAGGATTGGAATTAATACAGCCTCGAGTTCCAATAAGCGGGATACTAGGGAACTCACCACAATTGAAAATAACTTCATCATAGTCTTGCGAGTACCAAGAAAGGTCATCAGATCGGAGGGACACCATCCTTTGAGCCTAACTGTCACCAGATTGATCAACAAATGGTCCCTATGTCGGTCGATGAAAATTTAGCCACTAATATAAAAAGGGTGCACAACAAACAATCGATCCTCTTTTCTTTTCACTCCTCCAACTCAAATAATAAAGGACTTCTGCTAGAAGAGTTGGTATAGGATTCTTAGTCAAGAAAATATGAACGGCAGTCACATCCACAAAATCATCTATGTTGGGAAATAAGACAATCCCATAGATAGCCAAAGCTACAACAGCATAACAGGCGTCCCAACTCTGAGCCTCTATAAGGGTGTCAGTTCTCTCTATAAGAAACTTAAGAGGATTCCCTTTAACGCCCCCTTTAGTTTTCCAATTATCAGTGACGTTTTTCTTGGACATATGGAGAGCATCAGCTATAATATTATCATCCACAGATAGATCCACACCCATAAATGGTAACTTGTTCTTCATAGGGATACCCACAAATTTCTCGTACTCCTCAAGTTTTGGTGCTAGTTGGAAGTCTTAAAATGTGAAACATCTCAAAGAAGAGTCATAAAACTGGGCCAAAGTAACGAGCGCTCATTGATCCACCTCTTGGGTCAAGATATGAATCAGCTTGCCAAAATCCATTCCAAAATTAATTCTGAAAACAGCGGGAATACGTGAAACCAAACCACGCAAGTCTTCCAACTTAGGCTTCCTGAAACTGTACGGGCAAGTGCTTCTGGTATTTGTTCCCATTATTTCTGAACTGCAACTTAATTCTTAGATTCCCTGAAATCCAAAGAAATGTGAATGTTATGATATGAACATGAGATGCAGATGCAAGGATAAGGACCACCAATACAACTCTGAAGAAAAAAAGGTATCTCTGATTATAGGAACTCCATGGGTAGGCTTTTAACAGGTAGGTTCCTAGAGTCATGGATATCTTTCAAATATATCATAACCATAGCAAAGGGATACCAAAACAATAATATATTTGAAAGGATCCTCTAGGTGAGGTTTTTGCATTGTCCCACGAGAAAGGCTCCTCGTGAGTCTCTACTACACAACCATCGAGTCCAAGGATTCTAAAAGGTATCTCAGAGTCATAGATCAAGGTTGAAAATATGATTTCCAAAATAATGATATGTTCATGAGATCTCATCTGATTGGGGCTTTTGTGTCAACCCTCGCGATTTAACACTACCAACCACCATGGAAGAAGGGTTAAAAGGTCCTTAGAGTTATCGATTCAGGCTTGAAAACATTATTGCCAGGGCAAAGGCTCACCACGACAATAGCATTTCCAAGGGAATCAACTCTAAGCAGGGCTTTTGTATCCTTTCAACGAGAAATTCTCCACGAGGGATTCCACTACACAACCACCAATCTAATTCTAGGTTTTTCTCAAACTCGGGTATAGAGCAATCACACAAAGTGCCCATAATCAGAGAAACCCAATAGTCACAAGACATAAAGATATGATATATAATAAAGATAAACAAGTAAATAAATAATCAATCAAACAAACAAGAAAACAATAAGATAACAAACAAGAAGAAAACAAACAAGCAAACCTAGCACTCATGAATCAAGTCAAGTTAGGCTTGACTCTCTATTGCATAGGGCAACGCATAGTCCCCTGCAGAGTCGCCAGCTGTCGTACCTCGAAAAAAGCACGATCCTTCATGAATGGTCGCGGAAAACAGAGTCACCACCAAACTTTATTCATTCCAATATGGAATAGGAAAATATCGAGAAAACCTTTAGGAAAATAACATGGTCATCGCAACCAAGTTCTAGGTTCAAGAGTCGGTTATGCGAGGGGAAGGTATTAGCACCCCTCACGTCCGTTGTACTCAACGGGAACCTCTTGATTTGATTCCTGAGAAATTTTAGGTTAGTTAGTTTATTTTCTTCTAAGATGATAAAGTGAAGAGGTAAGGTAAAAGGATTAGACTTATAAGGAGATAATGGGTGGTTTTTTAGATTAGGGTGCTCGCCAAGGATTAAGGCCCTTGTGCCTACGTACCTTCACCTGAAAGAAGTGAAGAATCAGAGCGCTTGTAGTTCGTGAAACTATAGTGAAAAGAGAAGAGGTTGCTCGCTACGATCTCGCAGTCCTATACCTACGTATTCTCGTTTTTGTTGTTTTTGATGTTGAAACAGTCTTTCTTTACCCATGGGCAATGAGTTTTGATGTATTAGGGGTATCCGTATTTATAGAAGCTTTCATCTTCGTGCTTATCCTAATTGTTGGTTTAGTTTATGCATGGCGAAAGGGAGCATTAGAATGGTCTTAATTCTTGAATATTTAGACAATTAAACAAAACATTGAGACAGTTATGAATTCCATTGAGTTTCCCTTACTTGATCAAAAAACCAAAAATTCAGTTATTTCTACTACATTAAATGATCTTTCAAATTGGTCAAGACTATCCAGTTTATGGCCGCTTCTCTATGGTACTAGTTTTTGCTTCATTGAATTTGCTTCATTAATAGGATCGCGATTTGACTTCGATCGTTATGGACTGGTACTACGCTCTAGTCCTAGGCAGGCAGACCTCATTTTAACAGCGGTCACCGTAACTATGAAAATGGCTCCTTCTTTAGTTCGATTATATGAGCAAATGCCCGAACCAAAATATGTTATTGCTATGGGAGCTTGTACAATTACAGGAGGTATGTTCAGTACCGATTCTTATAGTACTGTTCGGGGCGTGGATAAGCTAATTCCTGTGGATGTCTATTTGCCGGGCTGTCCACCTAAACCGGAAGCGGTTATAGATGCTATAACAAAACTTCGTAAGAAAATATCTCGAGAAATCTATGAAGATCCAATTAGTTATCAACGTAGGTGTTTTACTACCAACCACAAATTTGATGTTGGACACAGTACTCATACCGGCAATTCTAATAAAGGATTATTCTATCAACCATCATCTATTTCCGAGATAACCTCGGACACATTTTGGAAATATAAAAAAATTAAGTATCCTCCGACGAACGAAAAAGTGAATTAAACAGGATCCTTTTGTACAAAATACAATAAGAAATAGCAAGCAAGTCAATCTGACAAAATTTCATTGTAATGGAAATAAATGGTAAATACTTATACCAATCTTATAAAAAACTCGGGAGAAATCAAAAAATGCAAGGTAATTTGTCTGCTTGGCTAGTCAAACACGGAATAGTTCATAGATCTTTGGGTTTTGATTACCAAGGAATAGAGACTTTGCAAATAAAGCCCGAGGATTGGCATTCGATTGCTGTTATTTTATATGTATATGGTTACAATTATCTACGTTCCCAATGTGCCTATGATGTAGCACCAGGAGGACTATTAGCGAGTGTCTATCATCTTACGAGAATAGAGTATAGTCTAGATCAACCCAAAGAGGTATGCATAAAAGTATTTACCCCAAGGCAAAATCCGAGAATTCCTTCTATTGCAGATCCGTTTGCAACTCCTTTGGAAATATTGCCCGAATGGTATTTTTTTCCCGTATTTCAAATACTTTGTACCGTACCCAATAAATTATTGGGCGTTCTTTTAATGGTTTCAGTACCCGCGGGATTATTAACAGTACCTTTTTTGGAAAATGTTAATAAGTTCCAAAACCCATTTCGGCGTCCAGTAGTAACAACCGTCTTTTTGATTGGTACCGTCGTGGCTCTTTGGTTGGGTATTGGAGCAACATTACCTATTGAAAAATCCCTAACGTTAGGGATTTTTTAAATTGATTCTATTGTCAAATAATGATCAATAGAATCAATTTATGATACTATCGGAGTTAAACAAGTAGATCTAAAGAAAAAGCGGGTTGTATTATATTAGTAACAAGTAAATCCTTTCTATGTCAAAAATTCCGAAAATTCTTTTTTTGAGGTATACCAGGCGAAAGGTTTGAGATCACCCAGAAAGAACTTTGGATTTTGAAAACTTACATGGGTGAAAAGCATTTACTTAAAAATAAGAACTGAATTTTTTGCATTTACAATGGATAGTTGTAATTTCGAAAAAAAAAAACAATTAAATCCATTTTATTACATATTATTACATAGAATCGTGATATCAGAAATCAGAGGGTCTGTAGTTTGGACTACGGATGTTGGTTTGATTTTAACAACTGTTTAGAGGGGACTAAACATTGTTCTTTTTAGAAAAGAGTTTTAAATCACACGGCAGCGAGAAGTTATATTAAAGTGTTGGTATTTTGATTGGATGATGATTACTTGAAGCTTAAGAAAGGCTCATCGGGCTAAAGTAATCGGGAAAGTAAGTCGCAGATCCGTCTCTCTCTCTTTTTCACCCTTAAGTATGAAAGAGTTTTGATATAGCTAAGGTATTTTAGACGGATGATGATTACTCAAAGATTGAGAAAGGCTCCTCGGGCCCAAGTAATCAGGAGAATGAGTTAAAGCCTTGACTCTCTCTCTTTTTCATCTAAGTATTGAGAAAATAAGTTTTATTTTGTTTAATTGTAAAATAACTTGATGTGAATCGGATTATAAATTTTGGAGAAGACAATTTTTCGAGCATAAGAAAGGCTCCTCGGGCCCAAACAATTGAGGAATGAAATCGAATACTCCATTCCAACTCCATTTTCACCCTTTATTGAAATATAGTTTAAGTATAATTAAGTTAATTTATTTGACTTTGAGAAAATATTTGATGTTGGTCGAGGTTTAAACTTTGCGAAAAATGATTAAGGGTTTAAACTAAATGGGATGGAGGACTTAATTGATTAGGATAAGGTCGATGGTGATGCACGAGGCAGTCGACTTACAAGAGTTGGGATAGGGCTCGATATGTGGAACAATTATACTTTAGGGTTTTGGAGTTTAATCGAAAGACGACGTATAAATAAATAAGTAAAGGAAAGTAATCGGATTTTAACCGTGCACACTAGCAAAGTGGACTAGTCTTCTAAACGACCAACTAGAAATAGTTGATCGAATAGGTCTCATTATAAAGAAGCCCAAGAGTAAGCTTTAAATGTTGTATACAGTGATCAAAAGGTTGATGGCGATGCTTAAACAACAATCGACTTACATGGTGAAAAATGGCTCGATGTGAATCGAGAATTATTTTTTTAAAAATGGTTTGAATAAGTGAGAGTAGGATTCAAAATGGCAATATCACAATATGAGCACAAAATATGACTAAGACATAATCAAGATAATCGTTTAAAAATCACATACTAAATCACACAAAATTATGTACAAAAGTTATTAATTAAATTAGATATGGATATTTAATAAAGTTAATTATGATTATAATTAATTAATATTAAATAAATATATTTCACAAAAGTAATAATAATACATTTTTTTATTTTTCATAAATAGATAATAAATAAATAATAATAATAATAAAAACAAACAAAATACAGTTAATGGAAAAGAATTGAAAAAAAACAACAAAAACAAAACAAAAGAAATAAAATATAAAAAAAAAGAAACAAACGCCAGATGGGCCGGCAAGAAGATAAAACGGGGGTACATAATGAAAACCACAAGGCCCACAAGTGGTGAGGGCCCAAGACGGATGGGGCGCAAGAAAACCCCAGTCAACCAAGGTTGACTATCAGAAAAGATCGTGACCGTCAGATCAGCAAATCTGACTTGGTCAAACGATCGTTCGGCCATAATGCAATAATTCATGGTAAGAATGCAGGGATGGCATACATGATAACAAGAGAAGAGACATAGGACAGTGATGCTAGACGACGACGTAGATCTAGAAGGGGGGTTGAATATATCACTTGTTAAAAACAGAGTCGGCGCTTACCAATATTTGGTTTTAGAAAGTTTTTAGGCGGAAGCGGCCGGGGAACTATATTCGTCAAAAATGAACCTTTACCAAAAAGACTGGATATACGCAAAGCCTATGCAATCCGATAAAACGAGATTATAGAATCACTAATTTGAACACACATCAACTAGATTTTATTCACTATAAGATTGGACTGTTTCGAATACGTGAAAAATATAACCCAATTGAAAAGACAACACAAGTGTTTGTGTTCACACAATCAGTCAAACACTTCGTGTGCAAGGCACCACAAGTGAATTTCAATGTGTGAGTGAAGTGCTATAGTATTAAATTATAATCAAGGATTGTAATAATGTTTCTAAAAATGGTTCAGCACTGCACACATCTGAATTTTGATCAACTAAATTGTTTGCAAACAAATTCAGAATTTAAGCAATTGAAAAATAAAGAGAGGAAACCAATTTGTTGAGGCAGTTCCCCCGTCGTCCTTGCTCGGGGTACGTCTGCCCTCAATTCTAGAAAAGGAATTGAGAATTGTACATATGTAACCTATTTGCAAATGTTTACAAAAGAAGAAATAGAATTCAAACAATCAAACTCAATTATTGATGTAGAGCTTATTCCTTATCTTCCCTTGATTCAACCTATAGAAAGGGAAGGGTCGATCTGAGCTCTCCCGAATTTCAGATTGTGCAGAAAATAGCACTTTGCATTGACCGGAACAGGTCATGCATCAATGCAAAGGATACAAATTTAGACAGACAGAAAGGAACACAGTATGAGTCGATCAGAGGGTCGACGCGAGCACATCTGAGAGTAGACCATGCAAAATAACTTTTGTACGAGTCGACTGGAAAAATCTGTGTCGACTTAAAGACTTAGAATTTGAAAAAAATGCATATTTTCATGTATTTAGCTACTTTTGAGATACTCCGCCATATTGCAAGCTAGACCAACATGATCAAACCTATATGGAACATATATTGTACTTTTTATATGTATCTAAGCATGTTTTTAACCAATGTTTGACGCAAGAGGAATAAGGTATGCATATGCGACACAATGATACCATTCAAAGTACACTTTTCTACCTATGTAAGTTTTGACATCATTAAAACAAGTATAACTAACTATGAGGAACTTTTCCCTCATAGGTAACACATGTCACCGCCTGCAACTGCCACCAAACCACACCAAGGACAAAAGCAAAACTAACATTCAGAAAAACAAAAACGAAACATTTATTCACTACTTGTTCAGTTTGCCTTTCCCTATCTCATTTAAACCCTTCTCTCTGCAAAACTCTTCACCAGAGAAGGCCAGTGACCTGTGGTGGTGCCATCGTCTTCTCCGTCTGTCCACCACTTTAAAACAGAAAATAAAGACGCTAACCCCTATTGAAATTCTATCTTGAACCCAAATCTAGCATTAATTTTATCCAAAACCTCTTGAAAAATATAGATCGAAGTTTTCCTTTTTCAAAACCCTAACTGAAAAACTCCATTAAAACGCAACGAAAATGAAAGGAAAAGAAGCACTACATTTCGACAAGTAAGAAATTGCAGAAAGAGGCTTTGAAGCAAAATAACTCGCGTTTGAAGTTTCGAAATGCAGGTACAAACTTTCTCTTTCGATCCTCCTTGTTCGGCCGCCTTAGGGTCCCTTTGTGGTGTATAGAAAACTTAGGGTTTCTTTGAGCAATAATGGCTGCTAAATGAATAGTGACCCTTATATATGACTTCAATTAGGGTTTTTGAGCTTGAAATCGCTTAGCTGTGGTTGAGGGACTGCTTAGTGGAATGCGTCTTTGTATGACCCTTGCAGCTGAAGATTTCATTTTTGTCTATAGCGAGGTAAGCATTACATGGCCCCACTTGCTTTGCTCTAAATGTAATGTTTTTACTTTTTCTTGCTTGAAAATGTATGACACAATACATTTTGTGAAAATTAGTGTTAAATGACATGAATTGATGTGGTGTAAATGCCTATGATAAAATGTATGAGTGCACTTATGATATGAATATGTCATGAATTAAGCATGAGATTTAGGAATATGTCTTGAACATGCTTGTATGAGCTAGAATGATTTAAATTTTAACTATAAAATGAAATGAATTAGACTGAAAATATGAACTTGAATTAGACATTTGAATGAGTAAAATGATCATTGATGAATTTAAATTACTTGAATTTGAATGACATGAAAAGAAAAGAAGTTGTTGAATTTATGAATGTTTGGGATGAAAATGAAATTGCTCTTGTGACTTGATTGAATTTTGGCTTGAAATGACATGAACTTGAAATGTTGAGATGTGAACTAGGTCGAATTGAGACAGGCTTGAATAGGGAATATGGTTTGTATGAATTTGTAGTGAAATGTGAACATGGTGGATTGTCTTGGAAGATTGTAATATGATGCTTAGAATTGAACGATATGATGAATGCATTGAATGAAATGTATCATGACGGTATATGCTTGAAATATGGATTAAATTTAGGAAAAAATGAATTATGTTGAACTGTTGTAATGGCATTGCATTGACGTGAATGTATTCTTCATGGTATGATGAAATAATGAGTTTTAGAAATGCTTAGAAACTTGGCATGAATTGTTTCTCGTGATTTTGGTCTTGAAATGAATTCAATGAATTGGACTTGGCAAGCTTTGGAACTGTAGGTTTGTGACGTAGCGTTTTTTATTGTTGTAGGGGGCTTTGCGCATCATAGAAGAGGCTTGGCAATGTTGGCTAAAATTGTATGTGAATAAGTTTGGAAACGTTGTACATATTGCTTCCTATAGCGGACAATGAAAGTTGTTTGGCTTAGTGAATCACATGCTTGCTGCAGCGCATTTCCTTTAGCATAGGCTGAGATTTGTATCTTTTGGTTTGTATTGAATTTTGGTTTTAGAAATTGAATGATTTTTTTTGTATTATATGGGCCAATAGCTCTTGTGTAGA